TGAGGTCAGTCACTGACGGGAAGGCCTGGCTCACAGTCTCCGCTCTAATTCATCCCAAAAGTGTTCTGTCGGGTTGAGGTCAGGCCAGTCAATTTCCTCCACCCCCAAATTCACTCATCCATGTCTTTATGGACCTTGCTTTGTGCAGTGGTGCGCAGTCATGTTGGAACAGAAACGGGCCATCCGCAAACTGTTCCCGCAAAGTTTGGAGCATGAAATTGTCCAAAATGTCTTGGTATGCTGACGCCTTAAGAGTTCCCTTCATTGGAACTATGGGACCAAGCCCAACCCCTGAAAAACAACCCCACACCATAATCCTCCCTCCACCAAACTTTACACTTGGTACAATGCAGTCAGGCAAGTACTGTTCCCCTGGCAACCGCCAAACCCAGACATGTCCATCAAATTGCCAGACAGAGAAGCGTGATTTGTCACTCCAGAGAACATGTCTCCACTGCTCTAGAGTCCAGTGGCAGAGTGCTTTACACCATTGCATCTGATGTTTTGCATTGCACTTGGCTCTCTATGCACCATTGTTGTGCTAATCTGAAGGCCTCAAAGTTTGGAGTCTTTAGCTACTGACTCTGCAGACAGTTGGAAACAACTGCGCATTGTGCGCTTCAGCATGCACTGAACCTGCTCTGTCTACCACATTGTGACTGAGTTGCTGCTGTTCCCAGTTGCTTCCACTTTGTTATAATACCACTAACAGTTGACTGTGGAATAGCTCCTGAGAGCAACCCATTCTTTCACAGATATTTGTAGAAGCAGTCTACAAGCCTAGGTGCTTGATTTTAAACATTTGTAGCTATAGAGGTCATTGGAACACCACCTGAATCAAAATGATTTGGAAGGGTGTCCCAATACTTTTGGCAATATTATGTGTGTAATATATATATATATCTATCATACATATACACACACACACATATATATACATACATACATACATACATACACACACTATATAGTGTGTATACAAGGGGAGTTCAAATCAAACTGGGAATTATGAGTTTATAAAATGAAAGAACAAATTTCAAGGATTTGAAACTACATTTAGTTTTTGACATACTCCCGTGCTACATTTAACTAATTTAGCATTTAACTAAAGCCTAGAAAGCTTCTGCATGTCAGTATGCCTGAACCATCCTAGGACAGCCTGCTTCACTTTGCCATCAGTGCTGAAAGAGTGATCTCCGAGGAACTCTTTTGGTCCAAACAGGTGGAAATCACTTGGAGGTCCGGGCTGTAAGAGGGATGTGGCAATACCTCCTAGCCGAGTTGCTGTAATGTGCACATAGTGCGGTGAGCAGTATGAGCTTGTGCATTGTCCTGAAGGAACAGGACACCCTTAAAGTGGAATTCCACGCACTCTGTAAAAAAATAAAAGTCAGCAGCTACAAAAACTATAGCTGCGGACTTTTAAAAAAAAACACACTCACCTGTCCCATGATCCCACAGTGCCCCCGCCTCAGCCCGTTTCACCGATCGTCCTGTATTCCAGGTGCCGGCATCTTCAGTGTGGGCACCTGGCTGTGACAGCTTGCGCATGCGTGAGTAAAGCTGCGGTTCATGAATGGCCCCGTCATCTTCTGGGACCTGTCACGTGTCCCACAAGACTATGGGGAGGGAGGGTATAAGGACAACTTCCACTTCCAATCGCCTAGGCGATCGCAGCGGAAGTGGGTACCTGTCAATTTCATGTACCCGTCCCCTACCCCGCCCCCCAAAGGTGCCAATCCTTAATGAGGAGTGGGGGACCAATCTTTAAAGTGGAACTTCCCCTTTTGGGTGGAACTCCGCTTTAATGATCAAACCAGGCTGTTTGTTCCACAGACACGTATGCAGATCGCTCCGAACATGACAGTAATATTCACTGTTGATAGTGACACCACGGGGTAGAAATTTCACATGAATAACGCAACATTTGTCCCAGAAAACACTTGCCATCACTTTATCTGCAAACCAACATTCATCTTTTATGCAATTTCACAACAGGTTATGTGGTGATTCTCCAGGATCAGGCATTCCATGCGCTGAATGTTCACAGGAATGACTGCTGTGGGCTGTGAACCACCACAGTCAAGATCGTTACTGATGAACATACAGCCATCTTTGAAACGTTTACACCATTCTAATGTCTTACTGCAGTTCAGCATTTCATCACTGTACTGTACTTGAAGTCTTCTGTAGATATGCCTTCGTTCACAAGAAACTTCATCCTTCATCACCACATGCTATTCTGTGCATGCACTAATGCTGTTGTCTGCCATCTTGATTAACAGTTTCTGGAATGGCCCGCGACATGTGCTCTGCCAATCAGTAATAGGACACACTTGCCTACAGCGTGTAGTACAGTCACGCTAGCATCCCTTTTTATACCCGTAAAATTAAAAGTCCTCGTTTTATTTGAACTCCCTATATGTATTATATATATGTATAAAACTGTAAAGGCTTACCGTAGTTTGTCACCATTCCATGAGAGTGTACAATTTTAAAGCATGACATGTTAGGTATCTGTTTACTCAGTGTAACATCTACTTTTATATTTTATATTATAACAATTGGGTATTATATTTTGTTTTCGTGCATTTAAAAAAAAAAAAATTAGAAAAAAACAGCTGCACCAATACCAGGAAACTTAAAAAATTTGCAACACCCACCATTTTTTTCACTAGGGCCTCTACTTGTAAAATATATATAATAATGTTTGGGGTTCAAAGTAAAAAAAATGCTGATTTTTACAGTAGAGTAATGTCAGAATTGGCCTCTGGGTCAAGTGGTTAAATCAACCAATGTGTATTGTATATTGTAACTCCTGTTAACTACTGTAATGCCTATATTCATCTGTATAGTAATGTTATTTTGTATTGCTATACTTTTTTTAAAAACCAATACAAAGTATTTGAAAAAAAAAAAAAATTGTGCTTATTTTTTTTTTTAAATAAATGCCACCTTTTTTAAGCTGCTTATTTTATTGTCCCCCTCCTTTAAAGGCATAGACCTAGAAAGTCATGAACGAGCACTCCCAGCTTCCTTCCTTACCCACGTATGCACAGTCCACTCTCTTTTAATCTTATAGAAAGCTGAGCTGAGAGAGAAGGAAGGAAACCAGGAGTGCTCATGACTTTCCTGATCCAACGTTGGGTACATCTTGCCAGCACAGATTGTGGAGGGCAATAACACCAGTAACTAATAAAAAATCATTTAAGAACAGTATTTTAATGTATTAATGACACTATAATGCATTGGGACCTTATTGGGAAAAGTGTGTAATGGTGGACTAACATTTTAATATGAAAATCCACTCAATGTTTTCAACCATGATAAAATCTCAGATTTTTATTGCTTTCCATGTTACAGAGATTGGCCCTCAATGTTTTATCCTGGTGACCCTTGCCATTTCCCAATTTAATTATTTATTTTTAGAATTCTTTATGTAGAAGATTAAGGATTGACGTCTGTTTGTTATACATGACTATTTCAAGTGGTTAATACGCATACAAAAGAAAAGAATAAAAATGAAAATAACCAATTTACACATTTAGTATGCAGTATCCTTAGAAATGGACAGAAATCTATCAGGCTGCCTGTGTCAAATGAATCTTTATATAGAACTACAACCCTGGGTAGAATAGTTGCAAATCAATCGCAACATAAAGATGAATTTTAAGCATTGGCATGTTATATGTAGTTTCATTGGTCCACGTGGACCAGTGTAGCTATGTATATGATATGCCTGGCTGATGCTGCTGGAAGCTGGAAATCACTGAAGTAGACAGCTCTATTTCAGTGATCTCCACTTCGTTCTGGGTTCCGTTCTGAGTAGCCAGCCTGATGCATTGTGAATACAGGAGGTTAGACACTGAACATGGGTGCCATTAAGAGAATGATTTGCAATCTGTAAATTAATACAAAATATTCTCTGATTGGAAAAGGTAGAGAGGTGGGGTGGTGAAGTCTGAGCCTATAATAATTTGTAGAACCAACCAAGAGTAGGACAGAGAGGTTTGTCTCACCTTGACTGAAAGATGAAGGTGAGTAAAAAGTCTGAGTGGTTTAGGAGTCCTGCGATTCCTTGTCGAATATATGGTATGCTGTCAGTCACAAGCCATGACTGGGTCCAGAGATCTGGTTAGACTTTTAGGTGGTGCTGATGTTAGCAGTGGTTCTCAGGGAGAGTTTCTGCGGCAGAATCAGATAGTAAGTCTAAATGGTCTTTAGGTCACTACTTTGCAAGTTAGGCAGTTGGTATAATTTACCCACTTAGCTTGTTAGCTGCTGTATACAGATGGTCAAGCTTAAATAAAATATCAAATATGAATTTAAAACCATAGGGAGAAAAACTATTCAAATCATCAGGTAAATTCAAAATTGACTGCTGAGCGGTGACTTTAGTCCTGGAGAGTTACCTTCATATTGGTCATGGATTATTCACCTGTTGAGCATGTTGCGGTTCACTTCAGTGTGGTACTCAGGAATGGAACCTTCTTTGAGGTCTGGGTAGTTGAACAGAGGGAAATTGTCCAGCATGCCAAGCCGGTCAAGGTCCTGTAATTTTTTGCATTGTATGAAGTGAGATAGGGCTGACATTTAGGAGGGTGACTGAAGTTTGAATGAACTGTCTCCCTTTTAGATCAAAAGTGTGAAGGGAAAACCCAATGTGTAGGTAAGCTTCATGGTTTGGAGATGTTCCAGAAGTACGTACATTTTAATTACTACTTAATTAATCTAAATCATTAACCACTTGCCCTCCATTTACCCCCCTTCCTTGAGAAAAAAAAAATATTTTCACTTTTTGCTATTAAACATGTCCAGTAAAAAAATGAAATAAAATTTCATCATACATTTAATTTAAAAATGTATTCTGGTACATGTCTTTGCTAAAAAAATTCCAATATGTGTAAATTAATTGGTTTACATGAAACCTATAGAGTTTACAAATGGTGGTATATATACTGGAAATTTTTTTTTTACTAGTAATGGTGGCGAGCAGCGACTTGTACTGGGACTGCAGCGGGCATTCTGACACTGGGGGGAACTGACTTGGTTTCACTGACATCCCCAGTGACATCAATACAGTGATTAGTGCTAATAAAAAGCACTGACACTGTACAAATGGCACTGGGCAGGAAGGGGTTAACATCTGGAGCGATCAAAGGGTTAACTGCGGGCTGTTTCACTATAGGGGCTGTGTGTGTGCTTCACTGTAAGCACAATGCTTTGTATGGCTGTGCTATGCAGAGCCATACAAAGCAGCATGCAGGAGCTGACAGGGGAAAAATCTGTATTGTTTACATACAGGTCTCTTCCCTGTTGGAGATACTCTGCGATTACCGGGGGTGCCGGCAAGTCACTGGCTGGGATCCGGTGATTGACAGCCGAGGCAGCGAATGGTGACAAGGGTAGGGCGTGCGCATGGCTTGTGCGCCCCCTACCCGGAAATGCAACATCACATATATATATATATATATATATATATATACATATACACACACACACGTGATTTTGCACACCCCTGCTGCCCTGTAGCAATATTTCTGCTATAGGGTCGAGGGAAAGCGGTTAATGCAGACAAAAGTCATAAATAAGCCAGCAGAAAGAAAATGTAGGCCATGTGATCTTAATTTACAAAATGAAAAATAAAGCATTATTGCATGGGATCTATTTCCCTGGTGCCCAACCTGCAGCCTAGGGACCTCATGTGGTCCTTTGGCACTTATCAGTTGACACTCAGGGCCCCTGCAGATAGTAGCCTGTATATTCCTTACCTACAGTCAGGTCCATAAATATTGAGACATCAACACAATTCTAGCATTTTTGGCTTTATACACAACCACAATGGATTTGAAATGAAACGAACAAGATGTGCTTTAACTGCAGACTGTCAGCTATAATTTGAGGGTATTTACATCCAAATCAGGTGAACGGTGTAGGAATTACAACAGTTTGCATATGTGCCTCCCACTTGTTAAGGGACCAAAAGTAATGGGACAATTGGCTTCTCAGCTGTTCCACGGCCAGGTGTGTGTTATTCCCTCATTATTCCAATAACAATGAGCAGATAAAAGGTCCAGAGTTCATTTCAAGTGTGCTATTTGCATTTGCAATCTGTTGCTGTCAACTCTCAAGATGAGATCCAAAGAACTGTCACTATCAGTGAAGTAAGCCATCATTAGGCTGAAAAAACAAAACAAACCCATCAGAGAGATAGCAAAAACATTAGGCGTGGCCAAAACAACTGTTTGGAACATTTTTAAAAAAGAAGGAACAGACCGGTGAGCTGAGCAACACCTAAAGACCCGGAAGACCACGGAAAACAACTGTGGTGGATGACCGAAGAATTCTTTCCCTGGTGAAGAATACACCCTTCACAACAGTTGGCAAGACACACACACACACACACACACACACACAAGAACACTCTCCAGGAGGTAGGTGTATGTGTATCAAAGTCAACAATCAAGAGTGAATACAGAGGGTTCACCACAAGATGTAAACCATTGGGGAGCCTCAAAAACAGGAAGGCCAGATTAGAGTTTGCCAAACGACATCTAAAAAAGCCTTCACAGTTCTGGAACAACATCCTTATGGACAGATGAGACCAAGATCAACTTGTACCAGAGTAATGGGAAGAGAAGTGTATGGAGAAGGAAAGGAACTGCTCATGATCCTAAGCATACCACCTCATCAGTGAAGCATGGTGGTGGTAGTGTCATGGCGTGGGCATGTATGGCTGCCAATGGAACTGGTTCTCTTGTATTTTTTGATGATGTGACTGCTGACAAAAGCAGCAGGATGAATTCTGAAGTGTTTCAGGCAATATTATCTGCTCATATTCAGCCAAATGCTTCAGAACTCATTGGACGGCCCTTCACAGTGCAGATGGACAATGACCCAAAGCATACTGCAAAAGCAAACAAAGAGTTTAAGGGAAAGAAGTGGAATGTTATGCAATGGCCAAGTCAATCACCTGACCTGAATCCGATTGAGCATGCATTTCACTTGCTGAAGACAAAACTGAAGGGAAAATGCCCCAAGAACAAGCAGGAACTGAAGACAGTTGCAGTAGAGGCCTGGCAGAGCATCACCAGGGATGAAACCCAGCGTCTGGTGATGTCTATGCGTTCCAGACTTCAGGCTGTAATTGACTGCAAAGGATTTGCAACCAAGTATTAAAAAGTGAAAGTTTTATTTATGATTATTATTCTGTCCCATTACTTTTGGTCCCTTAACAAGTGGGAGGCACATATACAAACTGTTGTAATTCCTACACCGTTCACCTGATTTGGATGTAAATACCCTCAAATTAAAGCTGAAAGTCTGCAGTTAAAGCACATCTTGTTTGTTTCATTTCAAATCCAGTGTGGTGGTGTATAGAGCCAAAAATGTTAGAATTGTGTCAATGTCCCAATATTTATGGACCTCACTGTAAGTGCTTACTCTTACTCTGTTTTACTTTTTCATGTACTGCCTATTTTTTATTTTTATTTTTTTCTGTTTATATTTTATAATGTATCTATGACTCTTTAAGCATGCCCCCAGTCTCCTACAAATCCTTTAGCATGTCTGCATTTTCTGACTATCTCTTGTATTATACTTGTAGTCTTTGATCATTTCCTGAAGTTGTCTACAGTCTTTGTTAGCTTTCTATAGCATAAAATCCACTGCATCATGTGTATGGTCCTTTGGTGATGTCACGGGCTGCAATACTGTATATCCTATATCAAGTAAGTTGACCACCACCAGTGTTTTGTTTTCATCCCAGATCCCCCCAATCATACACATTAGATTACACTTAGTTTATGTGGTGTAAATTATCAGTAAACTTTGGGTGAAAAAGCTAGCACAGTATCTCTATAAAACGTGCAGTCTAAAAATAGCCAGTTATGTTTACCACAGTTGAAATTTGCTGAAGATGAACAGGAAAATTGTCAAGGGCAGCTTAACAAATGGGCAAAAAAAAGACAAACTGTATTTACCATAAAAGAAGGTGAAATATAAAGTTCAGCTCTTATAAGTAGAGCTCTTGTTGCCAATAAGAAGCTCCTTTGAGGGAATGCATCTCAGAACAAGTGAACACAGAACCATAGCTAAAATTTTAGTGTTCCCACGTGAAGATTGGTAGCATACTAAACACCTAGTACATATAAAATAAAATAAACCTGTGATAACTTCACAGCAACATTTAATCATAAAGACTTTGAATTGATTTTTTTATAATTGGGTGTCATTTTATATGCCTGATTTTCATCTCTTTTAATGTTTGCTTTTTTCTTTCTAGAGTTTCATTGTACTAGACAATTTATGATTGCTGTCTTACTTATGATGGATTGTGTTTTGAAGCTAAACTAGTCAATAAATTCCAAGAAATTAAATGCATCTCATTAGAGCACGCTCCACCCTGTCTATAAAACACTGAACAGTAGACGACTATCTCTCCGCAAGTCGTTTTAAATATATGACTCTTCTGTTCCTGAGCATTTTCCGAGCGGCTGTCTCTCTGAATGAGGATTGTTAGATAATGCTTTGTGCAAAATCCTTTTCGGCTCATTAAAATTATTACCAATATATCAATCACATGGTTTCTATGACAGCTTTTCAAAAAATTAATGTGGCAGATATTGTTAGGTAACTCTTTTAATAAATTCAGATTTAATAGATTTAGCCCTGATTGAGAACTTGGTGCACATAGTTAAACTATCCCAAGTACAATGTCATATACTGTAACTCACTAAGAGCTTGTTCATAGAGGCAATCTTTTTCATTTCATGAAACTTGCCTATTTATAATTGCTGAGTGGTACATATTGTATGTATTTTCCTGTTTTTCATGAAGGGAAAGAAACAAGGCACTAAAGCAAAATATGAAAGTCATCGTCTCTGCTCACTGAAGACTGAAAACTGAGCGATCAGTATTCTTTGATCGCTCAGTTCTCAATGTAGAGGCAGCAGGGGACTGAAGCAGAACTAGATTGATGTTGCATCCGCCTAGTTGAGTATGTATGTTTGTTTTTATTTTTATTCCCGCACATCTTTTAGTTTAGATACACAGTAAATTGATAAGAGTGGATACAGTTTTTTGCTTTGCTTGTTAGATTTGGATGCACACTGGAGGTCTTCAGCTGCAATTGAACAATGCTGGACTTCTGGTACATCCCTGCACCTTTAAGAGAGAATGGGTTATCACAATGGGTTCACAAAATCTGGACCCAGGACTGAAGATTTCATCACACCCAGATCTCTTTGAAATCTCCAGGCTCCATGTCCCAAAACAGACTTTAGAAAACACTGAGGAAACTGAAAAGCCAGTTTTCTCTGCATTGGGCAAACCCCCAACCTGCAGGTTGAGAATATTGGGTTATAATCTTTATTTAGACCCTTGCAGGGTTACTCACACACACACACGAAACTCAAAAAATTAGAATATCGTGCAAAAGTTAATTTATTTCAGTAATGCAACTTAAAAAGGTGAAACTAATATATGAGATAGACTCATTACATGCAAAGCAAGATAGTTCAAGCCGTGATTTGTCATAATTGTGATGATTATGGCTTACAGCTCATGAAAACCCCAAATCCACAATCTCAGAAAATTAGAATATTGTGAAAAGGTGCAATATTCTAGGCTCAAAGTGTCCCACTCTAATCAGCTAATTAAGCCATAACACCTGCAAAGGGTTCCTGAGCCTTTAAATGGTCTCTCAGTCTGGTTCAGTAGGAATCACAATCATGGGAAAGACTGCTGACCTGACAGTTGTGCAGAAAACCATCATTGACACCCTCCATAAGGAGAGAAAGCCTCAAAAGGTAATTGCAAAAGAAGTTGGATGTTCCCAAAGTGCTGTATCAAAGCACATTAATAGAAAGTTATGTGGAAGGGAAAAGTACACAAGCAGCAGGGATGACCGCAGCCTGGAGAGGATTGTCAGGAAAAGGCCATTCAAAAGTGTTGGGGACTTCCACAAGGAGTGGACTGAGGCTGGAGTCAGTGGATCAAGAGCCCCCACACACAGACAGATCCTGGACATGGGCTTCAAATTTCATATTCCTCTTGTCAAGCCACTCCTGAACAACAAACAATGTCAGAAGTGTCTTACCTGGGCTAAAGAAAAAACAGACCTGGTCTGTTGCTCAGTGGTCCAAAGTCCTCTTTTCTGATGAGAGCAACTTTTGCATCTCATTTGGAAACCAAGGACCCAGAGTATGGAGGAAGAGTGGAGAGGCACACACTGCAAGATGCTTGAAGTCCAGTGTGAAGTTTCCACAGTCTGTGTTGATTTGGGGAGCCATGTCACCTGCTGGTGTTGGTCCACTGTGCTTCATTAAGTCCAGGGTCAATGCAGCCGTGTACCAGGAGATTTTGGAGCACTTCATGCTTCCTTCCGCAGACGAGCGTTATGTGGATGCCGACTTCATTTTCCAGCAGGACTTGGCACCTGCCCACACTGCCAAA